ATGATTGCAATCCACAGGAAGATAAAATTGAATTGACTCCATTAAGCGTAAATACCATAGTATCAAATTTTATAAAGCAAAAATTGCACAAAATCCACGAGATTTAAAGAAAACTACAAAGAAGCTTTAAAGCATTTTATCCAGTGATGAAATTCCAATTGAGCCAATTAAAATCCTAAAAGATGACACCGTTAAAAGTGCTGCAGCCAGTATGTCAGCGAATTTAGAAAACTCATCAGTGGACACAGGACTGGAAAAGGTCACTTTCATTCCAATCACAAAGAATGTTCAAACAACACCACAATTGTGGTCATTTTACATGCTAGCAAGGTAATGATCAAAATCCCTCAAGCTAGACTTCAACAGGACATGACCTGAGAACTTCCAGATGTACAAGCTGGATTTAGAAAAGGCAGAGGAACCAGAAATTCAATTGCCAACATCTGCTGAATCATAGAAACAGCAAGAGAATCCCACAAAAACATCTACTTCTGCTTCACTGACTATACTAAACCATTGACGGTGTGGATCACAACAAACAGGAAAATCTTGGAGATGGGAATACTAGACCACCTCACCTGCCTCTTGAGAAACCTGTATGCAGGTCAAGAAGCAACAGTTAGACCCAGACATGGAACAACAGAGTGGTTTCAAGTTGGGAAAGGAGTATGTCAAAGCTGTATACTGTCACCCTGCTTATTTAACTTATATGCAGAGTACCTCATGCAAAACGCCAGGATGGATGAAGCACAAGCTAGAATCAAGATTGCCAGACGAAATATCAATAACCTCACTTATGCAGATGACACACACCTTAAAAGTGAAGAAGAACAAAAGATCCTCTTGATGAAAGTGAAAGAGGAGAGTGAAAAAGTTGGCTTAAATCTCAACATTCAGAAAACTAAGATCATGGCATCTGGTCCCATCACTTCATGGCAAATAGNAGAAATACTAATACAGTATATTAATGCATATATATGGAATTTAGAAAGATGGTAATGACAATCCTATATGCAAGGCAGGAAAAGAGACAGATGTAAAGAACAGACTTTTGGACTATGTGGGAGAAGGCAAGAGTGGGATGATTTGAGAGAACAGTATTGAAAGATGTATATTACCAGATGTAAAAGAGACTACCACTGCAAGTTCGATGCATGATCAGGGCACCCAAAGCTGGTGCTCTGGGACAACCCAGAGGGATGGGATGGGGAGGGAAGTGGGAGGGGAGGTTCAGGGTGGAGGGACACATGTGTACCCATGGCAGATTGATGTTGATGTATGGCAGAAACCACCATGATATTGTAAAATAATTAGCTTTCAATTAAAATAAATTGATTAATTAAAAAAATCACGTGACAAACATCCACGGGCTAAACAATAAAATAAAATTATGGTCTTCAGACTACCCAATAGTATTTACATATTTCAAAGATTGCTTAAGTATTAATATTATAATAATGGTTATATAAGATGTTAACATTAGAAAATCAAGGTAAAGAATATATAAGTATTCTCTGTACTATTTTTGAAAATTGTAAGTCTAAAAATTACTTCAAAATGATAAATAAAATTTTGGGAAAAATTAAACTGAAACTTTACCAAAGATTTATAACTGGCAGCTAACCTTATAAAAATTTATCTTCTTAAGTGACCAAACTGTAAACTGAAGTCACAGTAAGATAATATCTCACACTTATTCAACGGAGTAAAAGAATGACAACTTCAAATGTTGGTGATGATGGACTGTAGAAAATATCATATATCACAGGTGGTGACTGTGAAAAGTTTCCACCTATTTAGAAAACTCTTTGACAGTTTCTTATAAAATTAAGCAAACTATATCTTACAATCAAGCAAATTCCATTTTTAGGTAATTGCATAAAAGATTTGCCAACATATAAAAAATAGCTAAAAACGGGAAAGAACCCTCATGCCCATCAACAGGAGGATGAATAATAAACTGTATTAGTCCTGTTCAATGGAATATTACTCTACAATTAAATAGAAAAAAATGTAAACCTACTGGTACAGGGGATAATATGTGTAAATCTCAATATCATTAAGATGAGTGGAAGAAGTCAGACATATACTGTGTGATTCCATTTAATTAATTGCAAGAACAGGTAACACTAATCTATGATGCTAGAAATCATAATATTGTCTCCTATGAGAATTAGGCTTAGGAGGAAGGAAGTAGTAGAGGAAGTTCTCAAGTAATAAAAACATTCTACTTCCTGAATAAGGTAATAGTTACATGGATATATACTTTTAAGAAAACTCAATGAATTGCACAATTAAGACACATGCATTTAACTATATAAATTTTACCTGCATAGAAGTATAAATATTAAAAAGTAAGAAAGTTCTCATTACTGGTATGAGATATCTGTTAGAAATATTAAAATATTTATATATTACTTAAATGTATAAAATAAAAGGAAGTACAGAACTTTACGAAAGTATGTGTGGGGATGTGTGTGTATGTGTGATGTGTGTATATATATGTTTGAAAGGAGACACAGGAAACCATAAGACTAGCTGTCTCCAGGAAAGGAAAATTGGCTGACTATGGAAGATAGAACTGAAAAGGTAAATTACCTTTCACTGAAAATCCCTTTGTAAATTTTGAATTTTGTAACATATATTATGATTTTAAAAATGAAAAATATAAAATGCTTCTGGAGGAAATCAGTGTTATGAATTCTCTAACTTATTTCAAATACTTTAAAAGCAGCATGAAGTGAATATGGCAAAATGTGGTAGAACATAGATTACTGATATTTGCAAGGTCAGAGTTCTTTTCTCCTTATACTCTGTATGCTTACAATGTATTAATTATGAATTTTTATAAAAATCAGAACAGAGGAAGTCTTTCATTGCCAAGAGCAACTTAAAATAAATGAATTACACATGCTTAAGAATTCATTAGGAAAAAACCACAAGGGACTGTAGAAAAAATAAATAAATTAAAACATTAAAAAGATACACTGATAAGTAATACCAGAGAGCTGACTGGGGAACATGGGAATGGACAGCTAGTGGTACTAAAAATTCATGAGTCAAACTCACTGCATTAAAAAAGATATAGCAGAAATAACCAAAATAGATGAAAATGGATATTAGCTGAAATGAGAGAAATTAATGAACATTTTGTATTACTTCATTCTACTGTGTTTTTCTACTAGGAAACAAGTTACATGTAAGGTATAAAACAAAAAATAAGCAATAACCATAGAAAATGTGAAAACCACTAAATGGGAAAAAAATAAATAAATAAATAAAAGATTAAAAAAAAAAAGGAGAGTTCTATTCCAAAACACCACAAACAAAGGAGACTTCAGATGATTTAAATTATGTGTTTGCTTAACTGCTGATGAAAGCTAAAGCTTTCAACCTGTTCTACAGCATAGAATAAAAAGAAAATCCTAAAATTATTTAAACACAATCAGAAAATCCAATATACAAACATGACAAAAATAGAACAAAAAATAAAATTACAGATAAATTTCAGTTAGCAGTATGCCTGCAAAAATTCCAAATCAAACTAAGATACTCATAATTCAATAGTAAATTTAAAAAGCAACACTTTTTTAACCAAAAGGAGTTTGTTGAATGAACAATAAAAGGAACAAAAAAATTTCAACACTAAAAATGGACTATTTCACAATGACAAAAGTTTAAAGAGTTTAATTGTTTATGCAAAAAGCATTTGGTTACATCCACCACTTGGTTTTGATTAAAATTCCTTAGGAAATATATAAAAGGTAAGAGACTTTACCTAATATAATATATAAGAATCTCAAATTTAAAGTTAGCATTTTGATGACTGAGACCATTTACATCAAAATAACTTACCTATTGGAATTAAGACCTGAACCTGATACCACCCCCAGTAGGGTCTTATAAACAAGACAGAACTGTAAACCAACAAATGCATTCAGTTTGTTCATCTATGCGTACAGTTCTTCTATCATTGATAACATACTATTCACATAGGGAAGTAGCTCATTCATCAGACAAAAATTTGATTATATAAATTCAATCAATGTTTTCATCTTACTCTTTCACCAAGTTTAAACTCTCACAGGATGAATTTTGCCCACTCCTAACCAGTTCCTTGCTTCCCTGGTGACTTAGTGGTAAAGAAAACCACCTGCCAATGCAGGAGATGCGGATTCAATCCCTGGGATCGGGAATATCCCCTGGAGAAGGAAATGGCAACCCACTCTGGTATTCTTGTCTGGGAAATCCCATGAACAGAGGAGCTATGGGGTTGCAAAAGAGTTAGATGTGACTTAGGGACTAAACAACAAGACAAGTTTTCTGCCTTGAAAATTCTACCCTAAACCATCATCCCATCCCTCACGATCTTAATTTCCTGCTTTTGAAATACTACTAAACCTTGTCAAAGTGCTGTTTTCCCTTTCTGCTGTAGTTTTAATAAACTCAACTTTGCTTGCTCATAGCTGTCTCTGAAAGTCTTTTTGGGTAATAGACCAGAAACAACATGCTAGTCAAACCAAGAAGGGTCCATTAAAACCTAACTAAATCAAGGGTGGGTGATATTTCCACAATTGCTGAAGTGCTCTGAAACTACCAGTCAGTAAATTTTATCAACATAACTAAAATCCAGATATTCTGGGAGAGAAGAATCACAACTATTAGTATTTTCAAAGGATTTAGTATGTAATTTGAAAAAAAAAAAAAAAAAAAAAANTCCCCACAGCCCCAAAATTGGACATAAAAAGAAAACAAAAAATACAGATGGCTAATAAACATATGAAAAAATGATCAAACTCAAAAACAAAAGAAGTACAATTTAAGACAATAGTTTGGGCTATCACACTGGCAAAGATTTCAAATATTCATAAAATTCATTATCTGTGAGATTGTGGGAAAGTTGGCAATCTCATTCATTGTCATTTGAGGATCAAGTTGTTACCATGTATTTAAGGAAATCTTGTGGTCATTTTCAAAATTTGAAATATGCATATACTTAATCCCAGTATTTTAACTGTTAAGTAATTTATTATGATATAATAGACAAATGCAAATTATTGATATATAGGGAGGTTCATTGCACAGAAATTTGGTACTAACATAAATATCTATGAATAAGAAATGTTTGAAACATTCAATTATATTTCATGTACAAAACAATCATGCAGTCATTCAACAGATGACACAGATATGTATTACTGAAACAGAAAAAAAGGGCATTGAAAAAACTGTTAAATGAAAGCAAATTTGCAGAATAATATGTACAATATAGCTCTACTTCCAGAACCCCCTAAAATATCTTGTGTCTGTGTGTGCGCATCTATCTGCTTAAAGAAGGCACACAACTCCCTTAATAGAGGAAAACTTGGAGATAGGATTAGGAGAGAAAAGGGCACTTAATTTATATATTAGATGTTTAAATATGCTTTGAATTTTTGAAAAAAAATTAATAGATCTTATTTTTTAAATTTACTACATGGCAAATGAAAATCATAAATGTATATTTATGGGAATACTGAGCAATTCCATCACTTTGAGTTTCTTGTGCAATATAATTTCCTCTACTGAGGCTCCTGGGATTGAGTCAAGTGGAAGCAAGGGAAACAGTCACCATGCCCAAATTAAAGTCTCATCGATGATATCCCAACATGAGCATTTCTCAGTTAACCATTTCTTATCTGCAGGAGGTATCCACTGCAACATAGGAAAGAGAAGAGTTTCCAAGCACAAAGAAGACTGTGTCACTGTATTGGAGAAGCTGGTGGCAGAAGTAATGGCACCTACAGTAACAAATCCACCTTGTCTCTGTGGTCATCACCTGCAAGGACATAGTGGGGAAAATTGGCAAAGGTGAGGCACACATTTTCTCAGGAGCCTGTCCGAGGGCTATGAAGTCCTTGTACACTCTTCTTCTATGTGTTCTGGAACAAATATATCCAGAATACACAGAGAAAGCCACATTTTCAGCAGCTGGGTACCTGCTATGGCCAGAAAAATAACTAAGATTTCTAAAAATCAAGGATGCCAAACACTGGTGATACATTTTCTCTTTTGCTTGGCCAACAAATGGAGATCTCCAACTATTTCAGACTTTTATCTGTCTCTTTCCCTCTGAATTTGACTCATTAAAGTGCTAGGTCATTCATTCATTGAATCAATTATTTCAGGCAAAATTACTTGTCTACCCTTCAGTCTAATGATTACTGAGAAATACTATATCTCATGAATATAATAATTCTCTGGTAACACAACAGATCCAGCAAAGAAGTTTAGTTTGTGTGTGTGTTAGTTGCTCAGTCATGTCTGACTCTTTGTGACCCCATGGACTGTAGCTCACCAGGCTCCTCTATCCATGGAATTCTTGAGGCAAGAATAGTGGAGTGGGTTGCCATTCCCTTCTCCAGGGGATCTTCCTGACCCAAGGATTGAACCCAGTCTCCCGCATTGCGAGCAGATTCTTTTACCATCTGAGCCCCCAGGGAAGCCCGAGTTTACTTTACTAGATAAGAAAAGTTAAGGAAATATTTTATATTAACTGTAAATGTACTGAGATGTAGAAAAACTATGAAGGTATATAAGAAAAGCCGTATCTCTTAACTCATTACACAATCTAGCCTTTCAAGTAGAATGTAGCCATAAGACATAAATCTTCAGAAAACTGACACCTAACTTCCTTCACAGATGTGGTTGCTCCTAGAAAGCAAGGACTATTCTGACAAAACCCTTACCTTCGGAGGGCAGCCCTCAGACAAGAGGGAGGCAAAAGGGCTCTGTCTGAAGAGTCTTCCTTCAGGCGTTTACTGGTATCATTCATCCCAGGAAGTCACCTTCTGAGGGGTGGAGGGGGAGAAACACCACTTCCAGTGAAAAAGGCGATTCAGCTGAAGTTGGGAAGTCACCCCTTTTCCATACTGATTTCTTTTGGAAGCTGCTTCCTGCTGTTATACAGCACTGAAATTACAGCTAGCTGCTCATAACTCTACACATTTCAATATCAGGACCTTGTATCAGAGCCTTTCTCTCTGGTGCTTTTCCAAAACTGACTGAATTACCTGGATCCCACTGAAAATTATGTTTCTTTTCTATCGTTTATTATTTGCTCTGCTTAGATGGCCAGGTTTATAAAATCGCTCTATATCGTCTACTCATATATCTATTCTCAATAAAGTTTGTTGAGAGCCTACTCTATCATAACCCATTAGGAGCTTGTGTAACAAAAATGAACTTAAAAGCGTCATGCCATTAAAATTAAAACCCCATTTGGTGAATCAATCATACAAAACAAAAACAAAAACAAAAACAACTGAGAAGTAACTTAGCAAATGGTCTTACAGAGGGAGATTCACTGATAGCGATGTGAGTCTAAATATCAGTAGCATGTCACTGAGCTTAAAGTGCAACCAGACTGCTGCTTTCCTCTATAACCACCAGCCCTCAGGAAAGCAAAACGAGACAAACAATAGCATTCCTCATGGAATCTACGGAATCAGCAGTGATGCTTCCTCTCTAATTTCTAAGTTTAGTGATTTATGTCTTGTCTAACTAGTGAAAGTGAAAGTCACTCAGTCGTGTCTGACTCTTTGCAAACCCATGGACTATACAGTCCATCGAATTCTCCAGGCCAAGGTACTGGAGTGGGTAGTGGTTCCCCTCTCCAGGGGATCATCCCAACCCAGGGATCGAACCCAGGTCTCCCACATTCCAGGCAGATTCTTTACCAGCTGAGCCACCAGGGAAGCCCAAGAATACTGGAGTGGGGAGCCTATTCCTTCTCAGCAGATCTCCCCAACCCAGGATTCAAACTGGGGTGTCCTGCATTGCAGGTGGGTTCTTTACCAGCTGAGCTACTAGGGAAGTCCCCTGTCTAACTAAAGACTTGTCAGTTTCATCAATCTGCAGAAATCTGCAATTTGGTTTCATGGGTTTTCCCTATAGTTATGCTGGGTTTTACCATTATGTCATTGACCTTTGCTCAAAAATTTATTATTTACTTTGGGTATTCTCTGAATGATATAATTAATAACCTTTTTCTTTCAAATGGTTTGTTTTTTGTTCTGAAGTATCTCTCTTAGAAGCAATGTGTACCTGCTTAATTTTTTAAATGAAATCTTCCAGTTTCTGTCTTTTAAATTTAATATAATTGTCATGTGGTTAGATTTCTGTCCTCCATTTTCCTATTCATTTTCTAGATGTCTTTCTCTGTCCATTCTAAGCTGCCTTGTTGTATTAAATAGACACTTTTTTTAGGACTATTTTAATTAGTTGGTAGCTTTTTAAAAGTATTTTTGAGTTATTTGCTTAGTATTGACCCTAGGGTTTATAAGAGGCACCTCAAATTATCACAGTCTATTTCAGAATAACACGAATTTTGTTACCTAACCTTTTATATATCTTAAACTATCAGAGAAATGATTCTATCACTTCTTTGGTTCAGATTTTCCAACAGATCAATGACTGAAACCGTCTTTGGCCATGGCATGTTTATAAAAGCAACTATGAGCCTGAGATATGTGACAGTCACTAAACACTAAAGATCCCACCACCACTGGACATATAGGCATGCTAACAAGTCATGGAGACCAGCAAGCACAATCAGTGATACAGTTTCATGTTTGACTAATGCAGACAGATTCTCACTGTCACTGTAATTCCCTAAAAGGGTATCAGTGTCCTTTAGGACAAAATGCTTACCTTTGTGAGAATTCACACAGGCCTTTGAGGATGGAGGCAGAATTATTCCCAATACTTTTCTTCATGTCTCATCTCAAGGGGAAGGAATAAGCTAATCCATATGAAACCTAGTTTGTGGAACATGTCAGTCTGTGGGAAAGAATAAATGTGCATCTAGATGAGAAGTAGGATAAGTTCATTTGTCAGCATATACAAGTCAGGAGTTTCACTATGTATATGCATGTAATACATGTAATACACTCTTCTGAGATACTTCTGATATTATTCAAAAGACTGATATTGAAAAAATTTGGGCTAGAAAAGTGCCTCGTATGACTCACCAGATTATTAATGCTTCACACTCTTTGGATTAACAGACACCTCATAAAAGCAATAAAATTCTAAACTGCTTAATAACATAGTAAAAATAATCTAGCAACATACATTTATTACAACTGGATATTACCTCTAGAAAGCATTGCTGTGAATTTTCCCAGAGAAAGGAGCTTGTACAAGTGACGAAAACAGCACTTATTTGGGGTGGCAGTAGAATTCCAAGCAGCAAAATATCCCTTCTCTCTAACATCACTTCCAGTCTACAAAGCACAAAGGAAGTCAGGGAGTTGAGAAATAAAATGTTCTTAATGGAATATCTATAACAAGCTGTTATAAGAAATACATCAAAGATATTCATTGGGCAGTCAACATGACAAAAACAATAAATGCTCACTCTTTGGAACATATTTGTTTAGAAATATTTTTTCTAAGGCATTGGTGTTCTTAGATCTTTCTTTAAGCATATTAGAAATTCCACTTGGGGTATATAAAAGTGGCTAAGGGAATCCATGTAAAAAAACAAACTAAAAACAAGAACTGGAAATTTAATCATTTCACATCTGAAAATGTTTAATGTAGTATGTAGTTGAAGCCAGTACTCACATGTAACTCTCTTGGTTGATGGAAAAAAAAGAAACAAAGAAACAATGACTCAATCCTAGTGACTGGCTGGCAAGCAAATTAAAATATATTGTGAAGGTCTTACATACAGTAATTACTTTTCAATTACCATATATTTTTGTCTCAGTTACTGAAGAAAAATTAAAATTCATTATGTCTGTATTTTGACCATCTTTAAATAGCCCTTACGAGAGGACTCCAGCAGCTTAGACAACTATGTGAATGGCTCAAGTGTAGGTACAACCATACCTAGAATTTTCAATGCTCATGTGCTAATTCTCCAGGGTCTGTTGACTACAAATGTATTCATGCTACCAGCTAAACACTAAAAGAGTTGTAATTTCAACCTCCAATTAAAAGCAGAGACATAACTTTGCCACAAAATGTCCATCTAGTCAAAGCTATGGTTTTTCCAGTAGTCATGTATGGGTGTGAGAATTGGAGTATAAAGAAAGCTGAGTGCTGAAGAATTGATGCTTTTTTTTTTTTTAAATTGTAAATTATTGTCCAAATAATTTTTTGAAGCACGATTCGAGTGTGTTTCCTCCACACTTTTTTTTTTTCATTTATTTTTATTAGTTGGAGGCTAATTACTTTACAATATTGTAGTGGGTTTTGTCATACATTGAAATGAATCAGCCATGGATTTACATGTATTCCCCATCACGATCCCCCCTCCCACCTCCCTCTCTACCCGATCCCTCTGGGTCTTCCCAGTGCACCAGGCCCGAGCACTTGTCTCATACATCCAACCTGCGCTGGTGATCTGTTTCACCATAGATAATATACATGTTTTGATGCTGTTCTCTCGAAACATCCCACCCTCGCCTTCTCCCACAGAGTCCAAGAGTCTGTTCTATACATCTGTGTCTCTTTTTCTGTTTTGCATATAGGGTTATCATTACCATCTTTCTAAATTCCATATATATGTGAGCCTTTAAACAGAATTCATTTGAATTCTATATCTAATGAGATGGATGAAACTGGAGCCCATTATACAGAGTGAAGTAAGCCAGAAAGACAAAGAACATTACATCATACTAACACATATATATGGAATTGATGCTTTTAAACTGTGTTGTTGAAGCCTCTTGAGAGTCCCTTGGACTGCAAGGAGATCCAACCAGTCTATCCTAAAGGAAATCAGTCCTGAATATTCATTGGAAGGACTGATGCTGAAGCTGAAGCTCCAATTCTTTGGCTACCTGATGCGAAGAACTTACTCATTGGAAAAAACCCTGATTCTGGGAAAGGTTGAAGGTGGGAGAAGGGGACTAGAGAGGATGAGATGGTTGGATGGCATCACTGACTCCATGGACATGAGTTTGAGTAAACTCTGGGAGTTGGAGATGGACAGGGAGGCCTGGTGTACTGCAGTCCATGGGGTCGCAAAGAGTCAGACATGACTGAGTGACTGAACTGAACTGAACTGAGAAACTGTACAGTTCAATCCCTTTAATGCATGCAAGAAGCTAAACTTTTCAATATCACAGTTCTTCCTGGTACCATACAAATGAAATCACTGATCTCCTTCTTGTAAATATTTTTCTTAGGGTGGCTATCTATATAAGACCTCAGTTTCTCAGAAGTAATTTTCTAACTCATTTTGTTCAGATTTTTAAATGAGAATCAATTATTATAGCAATTGATACACATATGAATTTCTAAAATATGGCACTGCTCGCCTCAGAAGGTACAAGTCCAAAGGTTATCACTTATCTACCCTACACAGTTACAGAGATTAGACCCCAGATCAGTGATCCAGGCCCCTAAGGATGAGCCTTTCCTTCATGTTGTATCTCAAGGGGAAGGAATAAACTTGAGCTCTATCCCTGTTACCTTGTGGGAACAGAATAAAACTGTGGAAAGATTAGAAATAAACCTGTCCATTGGTCTGTCAGGCACAAGACAGTAGGGTTCAATAATGTAACTGCCTATTAAATAATCATTGCTTTGCTAGAATGTTTCCAATATTATTCCATCAATATTAATTGTGTTAGGCTCTGGTCTCCATAAGAGCAAATATTGTCCAACATTTTCTGCCAGACAAATTAAATGTGCAATAAGACTGTCTGAACATACTTAAAGTTCCAGGAAAATGTTTACCTGGTGAATAATTCAGTCACAACAATGCACATATAATGTATGTATGTGTATATATATATATATATATATATACTCTGTAAACTAATCTTCAGAATTATTTTATCCTTAAAGGTGATCCAATGGATTGGGGAGGACTAACTTGAAAAAAGCCATGATAGGGAAATAAAGAACATTATCTAAAAATCACTTATAGCACTTGATTGAGCTCAGGAATGTAGCAATTTGCAGGGGATGCACAGGGTTACACTACGCCTGATGGTATAGTCACAGCAAAGCAGGCAAGACTCACACAGGCACAATAGTTACGGGCATGTGACTGAGAGGGTGGGAGTGTGCAGAGAGGAAAAGTTAGACACTGAGATCTCTCACCATGAAATACTTCCCATCCCATCGTCACAATGATGCTCACCAGGCCACACTGCTGAGGATTCATTGATATTTGGGCAAGCACATCCCTCAGGAGAAACAATTTCTCTCTGCCAAACTGGTAAGGAATAGCCTTGCCATTGTTTCCATGCTTAATTTCTATATGAACCATTAGCAGGAAGGCGGAAAAAATAAAAACTTCTGGAAAAGTGCAAAAAGAAACCTCAATCACCATATTATTAAGTACTCAAACTGTTTAAACGGACAGACTGCACAACACCAATTAAAATTTTCATTATTTAAAAAATAACAATTACTCAGGAATTTATAAAAGATTACATGTTTCGTTGAGAGTGCATTATTGGATTTCTTCTTATATAAGCAGTTGGCAGAAGTGACAAAAACCAGCTTTCTTCGGTAGGATAAAAATTCTATGCAATTGAAATATTACTTCCAACTTACAAACCACAGAGGAAATTAGAGGAGTTGAAAAAGAAAATCTTCCAAACTGAATATTAATTGATCTGAGATTTAATTATATACATTTTTTGGCCACTTGTGTGACAAGAATAAAAATACACTTTGTTCCATGGAAGAGGAGAGTATAGAAAGTCATCTGTTCTAAGACCTGGTCAAAGTCTCTCCAAAGGACCCTTAGAATCACTCATTAAAACTGGGATTTTCCCTTAAAACATATGAAACAGACTGAGGGAATATGAATATTAACTTATAAAATGTCAAGAATTGGAAATGCAATGACCTCATAATTAAAAGTATTTAATGTAGCATATACTTGACCCCATCACTCAAATGTCTAGAAAATTTTGTATTTGGGTGAGAAGTAAAACAACTGTATGAATTTTTGTGACAGCTAAAAATCTAATGAGCCAACTCATTAGTAAAGACCCTGATGTTGGGAAAAATTGAAGGCAGGAGGAGAAGGGGACAACAGAGGACAAGATGGTTGGATGGCATCATTGACTCAATGCACATGAGTTTCAGCAAGCTTCAGTAAATGGTGAAAGACAGGGAAGCCTGGTGTGCTACAGTCCATGGCGTCACAAAGAGCCAGAAACAACTAAGCAACTGAACAATAACAACAACAACAATCAAATGCCCAGAGTATAATAATTCTGAGTGAATGGGTACTATTAGCCAAGCACTACAAGAGCTTCCATCTCTCCTTAAACCAGACACTTATAGATCTCTGTACAGCTCATTTCCCTTAATATATATTATCAGGTGACCTTTCAAACACTTCATCCTAGTTGGTGCTTCTACTAGACCGAGCTCCCTCCACATTTCTTGTCTAGCATGGTCCCTGGGAGGGATCTCAGCTGACAAGTGATTTTTGTCACTCAGTTTGTTCATATTCCAATGAGGAAGTCATCATTAATCCAGGCACATTAGTGAAAGGGACTTTGATCCTAAGATAATATGGCAGACTCTGAGCACTCAGCGTTCTGACACCCTCAGACACATTGACCCACAGTATTCAATAATGGAGACCATTCACCACAGTCAATGACAGCCCCATGACTGACTAGCACAGCTAGAATCTCATTGTCATATTATGAGTATTACACGGTCTTAAAAGGAATGTCAGTACTTTTCAGACAAAATGCTTACTGATGTTACAATTCCCATCGGCTCTTGAGGATGAGATGGTAAAATTATTTTCAATACTTCCCTCATGCCACTTCTCAAGAAGAAGGGACAAATTCTTTCAAATGAAACTCAACTAATGGTCCATATAGAGTAAAAATATGGAAAAATGAGATTATATATGTCTATTTGTCAAACAAGCATAAGACAAGAGGGTTTATCATATACCTTCATATCAAATATACTCGTATTACTTTACTAGAATGTTTCTGATATTATTCAAAGGGAGAAAGCACAAAAATCTTGGAAATAAAGGAGACAAAATATTGGACACCTCACCAGATAATTAATAACTCACATTTGGGTTAATAGACACTTCACAAAACCAATTATCTACTTGATTATAAAAGTATAATTAAAATAAGCCATAAAATGAAAATTTGTTTTAAAATTGTATTACCTTTAGAGTGCATTATTTTGTTCCATCCTAAGACAGGGAGCAGGTGAAAGTAACAAAATCAGCCTTTTTTTTTTATGGTAGTGAGTACTCCATGCAACTGAA